TTTCTGTTGTAATAAACGTCTGGCCTTGAGTTGGGCGTTCGCGTGTCTGCTTTTGCTTTTTCACAAAGATTATTTTTAAATTGACTATTGACATTTCTCAGTGTAAAATAATATTAGAACTGGAATACTTTATAAAAAGTATGATCTATCAAATGTTAAAATTTTTCAAAAGAATAGCTTATTTCATCCCGAGATGATCCGAACAAGGGCACCCAACGAGAACATAGTTCAAAACCACTAAAACATAGCATTGTTAAACGTAGTTTGGTATTTAAACGGTAGATACAGGCATATTTTTATCCCCTAAAAATTCTTCATCTGTTCGGATTTCTTAGCTGAAAGTCGAGTGTTCCGAAAATTATAGCGATCAAAACTTACCTTTTTGAAAATTTCAGCCAGAAAAAAGACTGCCGAAAATTCTAGGTGACCTTTTTAGCGTAAACATTCGTCAAAAATAGGCAATTGTACCATATTTTAGAAGTTCGAAAATCCTAGGAGAAGCAGGCAAGCAAGAAATTTTACAACAAATGTTCCGAAAATTCAAGATCTCAAATCGTCTTCCGAACAGATATTTTTCCGAAAATTGTCGTTGGGTGCCCCTGATCCGAAGACCTTTATTCAAAAAAATACAGGTTAATTAATATTTAATTCTTTGAAACAAAAGAAGTTAATTTTTAACTTTTTCGTTAACCGTAACTGAAAAAAATTAATCGATAGCCGTAAAAGAGCCAAAATTTTAGCCGATAACCGTAAAGGCCACCACCCCATTGAGACCCTCTCATACTTGTGGATCGAAAAATAGCGTGAGCTGGAGTTACTTGAAGTAGGCCAAGGAGGCTGACGAGACGGCTTCTCCGCGGGCGGGGGGTAGCCTGAATTTCATACGATTACTTGGGGTCGTTTTTACTCCCCCAGTTGCTTAGCCTGCGCGCAGACGAAATTAAACTCTGGTTAACTCCGTCTGCGAAACAGCGCCGAAATCCTTGTTCTGGACTTCCAGCTGTGTACCCAGATTTGAGTACGCGCCACGATTGGCCAGTTAAAAAAGGCCTTTGTTTTGTTTGTCGTGATCGCCAATCAGGTTGAAGGGGAATTCGAAACGCACTTCCGGTAATTCGTTGAGTCCGTTGGGGGTCCAGAACAAGGATCTCCGCGCTGCTTCGCAGACGGTACTAATCAGAGTTTAGTTATCGGCTGCACGCAGGCTACCAGTTGCTGAGAGGAGAAAACGACTCGAAGTGTGAAATTCAGGCCTTTTTTTTGGGGGGGGGGGGTTACGTACTAGACCAATATTTTGGTATAGGTGAACCGCTGAGAGTTTGAGACCCTGACCCTGTTTAGGACAAAAAAATTCCCAAAGGACAGACCCTTTTTAGGACAAAGCCTTTAATTTTACTACCTTGTTTTGAGAACAAAGGACATGTACACTGTTTAGGACAGCTAGACTTTCGCGGAATTCTATACCCTGTCTAGGACAGAAGAAGAAAACCATACCCTGTCCGGCGGCACATCACCGTCTCCTCTTGTCTTTTTTTTTTTTTCCAAAAAAGTGGGGAGAGGCAAACTTAAAGCAAAAGGCACACATACACCAACCCACGGCCTAGCCAGTTCCTTATGTATGCGCACATCCACTTGATCACCCGGGCAGTGGCAGCCCGATAGACAGCTGTTTCGCCCTTATTGGGGCTCATTAGCATGGCATAGCAGTTTAATGATTCGAAACTGGCGTATTTCACGTTGAGAGCCTAAAATGAGCGAAAAATCATGATTAGGGATGGTGGAGCCGGCCCCCACTTCCCAACCTCCGCCCCTCCCAAACTTTTTTGAAAAAAATAGGGACAAGCAGGAGGCTTGCTCCTGGGACAAGAGAAGAGTCTCCTCAGCCTCCCCACATCAAGTCACATCACTTGCTCTTTTTTTTAGATGTAACGGTGGTAACACGACCAGATGGTAAATCGCTTACCACATGTATGCAACTAGGTTATCCAACCGGGTTTTTTGGTCAAAAAAGTTGAACAACTCCCCCAAACCGATTGTCGACCAACTGTCGGTCGACGGTTGGCAAGAAATTACACCGTAATCGACACATTACCCATAGTTTACTCTCTATGAAACTACGAAAAAGTAAGCGCGCGGTGGTTTTCCCATCCCATTGTCCTCCGTGCGTTTCCTTTTTTGGCTTTACTCAATCTCCTACATGCTCCAAGATAGTAGCCCCATAGTATAGTAGTGAAGTCGTGCAGTGACGAAAAACATGCGGGGGCTCCCATTTTTTTTCCCGCCACCGCGCCCTTTCCCAGATCGCGCGCGTCTTATTTTCGATCGCTTGGCATGTTTTAGTTTCGCGACGTCCCTACTGCATGTATCTGAGAGCCTAGCACAGGCTACTAACGTCCTTTACGACAAAGAGAGGCCTCTGAAAAGGAGAGGGGATAGTTTACTGACAGGTAGTATCCGAAATAAAAAGTAAAAGATATTTTGCAGAATCATACCTCGCGTCCCCGCCTGCTCGCGCTAAATCACATTTCCCTAATCCTGCAAGCTGCAAATTTTGCTTTATAAACTCACACACCTTAAAACCACGGCCAGTAGTTATAGAGAGAGGTCGGGGCGAGAACGACGATCAGAAGTGGAGACAAAAAGGGTCTTTAGCCTTAACACACCACTGGAAGCACTGAAGATGTTCAATGTTCTATGAGGTGGCTCTCAGTTTGAGAGAACCACAGGGGTAGTTCCCAGAAGCTTCCGAGCCAATAGTGAGAATGAAGGCCTGAGTTTTCCCCCACAGCCGGTGCACAGTCGATTGAGCCGGGCTGCCCGAGCAGCAGGTAGGAGCCACCTGAGCGAGAAGCCAGCAAGATGAATGAGGATGAATGATGCAATTATGTAAGATCAAGTGTTCACCGTCCATCAAGGAGCCGTTGACCCAGGAGCAAGTTGAAAGTAAGAAGGGCGATGCCGGATCTCAAGCTCTGCGACGCATACATGGAGTGGTCCATAAGCGATTTTGTTTAATCGACATCACTTGTTTCATGGCTTTCTCGTCTTTTTTTTCCTTCTCTTCGCCAAGCAAGCCAAAGCAATGATTGCCTTTTAAGGAGAATTAACACCACTCGTCTCATTTTTCTTATTACAATATAGCTGATAAAACCCTCAAATCACTAAAGGTCATTTAACGACATACCCCATTTTATCTCGAACAATTCTCGTAATTCCCCGGCACTGAATCGATTGTATTTACTCGTTTATTCGTAGACTCGATTCAATTTCTTTAGGGCTGCAACTCCTCCGATACACTCAGCTTCCTATGGATTACATAGGATTCCGTAGATTATATAAAGAAATTCACCCCATGTAAGGGAAACCGGATTCCGGAATCCGGGAAGTTTTTTTTTGTGGAATCCGGAATCCTAGGTTTTGGAATCCGGAATACAGCTCAAGGAATCCGTAATCCCACTAACGATTGGAATCCAGAATCCAAGTTCAACTGACAAAGAATACAGAATCCAGTACCAGAAATCCGGAATCTACGGAGTGGAATCCAGAATCCAAGACTGTCTTGGATTTCCTTTCATGGGGCGAAATCACATCCTTGGAACATGTGCGAACCTTATAATTACTTCCGTTCACACCTGTGAGGTAATATCTTTTTTTAATCAGTTTATTCCCAATGATAACCTTTATCTAACAGAATACGTCTTCAATTGTGAATGGAGTGTTTTGATTTCACTTGTAAATATTTCATAAGTTCAGGAATTGGAATTACTCACGATCTTACGACGTTAACAGGCTATGAAAGAATGTTTAAATAGACATCAAGCCGGGAGGATAGTTCGAATCTTACAATGCTATATAGCAACTGTTAGAAGTCTAATTTTGTGTTTGACAGTAAGTTTGATTAATTCCATAAACGGTCCTGTTGCTGTAGCAACAATCCTCTATATGAGGCCATTATAAAACAAATACAATTTATTTCAGAGCCTGGATTAATGTAAAATAATTGGTGGAAGTGAAAAAACAAAATTTCTGAAGTAATGATACATCGTATGATTAAATCAACACACATTTCTGTTTGGAGAATTCTTAAGTGTGTTTCATTCATAATCTAGAACTGAGAAACTTTGAATCAGTTTCGAGTTGACTCATGAGTTGTGTGCCAACCGGCAGGAACTTCGTCCAAGACTTTAAAAAATAGGTATTTTTATGAATTTACGAGTGGATTCCAAGGCAACAGTTCGTCATGAAAGCTGACGTTAGAGGCATTATTATTCTCAACATTTTGGTAGCTACATTTCTATTTATGGGAGCTGGGATTTTTCACGTCCTCGAAAGTCCAAACCAGTATGGCCAAGATCACCAATTTCACGAACAAATCAATCAAGCTACTTTACACAGTTTACACAAAAACCTGAGCATAAGCATGCCGAAAAATGAATTCGATAACTTGGTGAAAAATGTTTACAAACTGAAGATAAATTGTCCATCAAGATTATCAAGTAGTTACAACTGGTCGTACTCCGGTTCACTCTACTTTTCAGCAAGCGTTATAACCACTATCGGTATGTATTTTTTATAACTTTTCGCATTATGTAAAAGTCAAATTAGAAGTGGTCGTGGGTTTTTACACATATTCCCTATTCTTAGCTAAAAGAACAGGAGCACAATATCCTTCCATTTTTGAACTTGCCTTGACAACTATATATAATTTGCAAAAATATCCGTTTGGACGGAAGCCGCCCAAGCCGTACAAATACCATTCTCGTCCCCAGCGCTACTCGGCTTAATTTGTAACCGACCCCTCGTTTCCCGAACACGTGACCAAGAAAAGACGGGCTCTGGGGGCGAGAATGCCCCCCCCCAAATCGTCCCAATGCCATTTGCGCTATACTAGTGAGTGGAGGAGGCTTGGAACCGAGCGTGATAGCGCTCCCTGGTGGATCGCAAAAGAAGAATTCTCGTGGGCTTATTATCCTAGCCTTTGAGTGAACTGAGGCTGAGGTTGACCTTGTTTTAATAGAAACCTACCTCTATTACTTATGAAAATAATGCTTTAAAATACTATTTGGCATAAGAACAACATGAGTTACATGAGGAAGCAGGAAGGGTTATATCGAGGTCAACTCCAGCCTCGTTTCCACCTGTAACTGTAAAATGGGCTATCGGTGACGTCAGATCCGAACTCTCTGAGGACGATTAGGAAAGATACTTGCCGTTTGTGCGCGTTTATGGCAAACCTGGATTAAGAAAGATTTCCCTCAAATATTGAAACACTCAGAAAGAAAAAGTTCTGAGCACCCTCTAGCTGGCTAAATCGAATCAACACCCCTCCAGTATAACGGTTGAAGTCTCTTGCCACTGAGCTACGCGATACTGATTAATTTTGTTTTATTCCAGGTTATGGACATATGGCACCCTCCACCTTCGCTGGTCGAATGTTTTGTATATTCTACGCGTTAGCTGGAATACCATTGTGCATGTTGACACTGAAGGTGATGGGCGATAAAATAAACGAACTACTGGGAAGCTTCTTCATTATGATCAGTACCAAACGCCAGCTAAGAGAAGGCAAGAGGACTAAAATAAAGGTCATGTCAACTTTGGCAGGAATAGCCTTAGTCTTTCTCTTTCTCGGCGGATCACTTTATTTATCAGAGGACTGGAGCTACTTCGATGGAGTGTACTATTGCTTTATAGGTAAAGTTATAATGGGCGACCGCACGTCAATAGGGGTCTTGGAATTTCATTCATTATTTATTCGGAGAAGCGTAGATTACATCCCATCGAGATCAAACCTCTAAGGCGATCTTCGCTCTTGCTGAGATTTCATTTGCCATTAATTATAAGAGGAAACTTGGGAAAGGGTGTATAATTCATGTATAATTACTTTATCCAAATATCTTTTCTTTTTTCAAGAAATTAGTAGAAAGTAGAAACCTTAGCTTTTCATTACTTTCAATTTCTTAACTCTTACAAATTTTACTCGTTTGACCGCGTCACTAACCTTCCTAAACCAGTTTGTGTTCATACTTGTCGTCACCAGGGCTTCTCCGTTTTCTAATAAAAGAAAAAGTCCTGCGGATGAAGTTGATCAGTAGCAATCAGTTATATGAGGAGAACACACAGGCAGTGTTACTCACTTAGCCCACAGTTATTAGAGGAGACTGGTTATGAAAAGCGGCAAACATCAATGATAAGAACAACAGTGCTGCAGTTTATGTTGGAAGTACCGTGAAAGTGCACAATCCTTTGTTTTCTGTTGGCAAATTGTTACGGAATAAATTAATGCAACGTTTTTATTGGTCAATACAATCAAAATGATAGGAATTCTTTTGAACGTTGTGCACTTTCAGGTCCACAAAAACATATAACAAAGGAGTCTGACGGGTTTCCTAACCATTCCACGCAATGAACTATGCTTAGCCCTAAAATGAACTCATTATACCGTGTTTGTTTCAGCATTGAGTACCATTGGGTTTGGGGATATGGTTCCCACAAAAGGCAGCGCACCCTCATCAGCGATTCAAACACTGGAATATATCATCCGGGGTTTATACCTTGTAATCGGCCTCGTCCTGGTGTCGAGTCTTGTTTCGTCTGTGGTATCTGCCTTAAAGGTGTTGGATGGATGGGATTGTTGTAGGCGGACAAGATGTGAGTATAAATAATATTAAAGTGAATGGTTATTAGAAAACTATAAAGAATATGACTCACTAGGAGTTAGCGTCAAATACTAAAGCTTGCTTTCGGTATGTTTATCTATACATTCCGTTATAAATAGAGTATAAACTTTTTTTTCGAAATGTAATTGAAAACAGTTGAGAAATATTAGCGTTTTAAAAAGTGGTCTCTTGTGGAAAATATAGTAGGACAGATGAATAGAGCGATAGTGACTACTTTGCCCTGAAAAATAGTTGGAAGTACATGCATGCTATACGTGAAACAGTTGTATGGGAAACAACAGGTCCTTTGCAACTCTGTCGCTTTTTCTTAGAGATCACGTTTACTATAGACTAGCAAACGCCGCTAAGCTGTATGAGACAAACTAAGAATCGAAGGTACCGTAAAACTCCGAAAATAAGCCCCTCCATATATAACCCCGTCCAAATATAAGCCCCCCAAAACTCGTAACGCAAAAACCCTTCGTTCAATCGCCCCTCCAAATATAAGCCCCCCCCGGGGGGCATGTACTTGGAAAGCCCTCAAATACACAGTAAAACAAAGCAAAAACGGTAAATTTCCTTCAGACTATAAGGCTAGCCCAACGGATTATGGAACGCAAATTTCCCTCCGTAGATAAGCCCCCCGAATATAAGCCCCTCCAAAAATAAGCCCCTCTAAAAGGGCCTTTGAAAAATATAAGCCCCGGGGCTTATTTTCGGAATTTTATGGTAGTAGTCACCAAAAACGAGTGACGCTCTGAATACAAGTGTGCTAATAAGGCATAACGCGAGATATCCCTGCATGAGTTGTGAGAGAGGTGGCCAGAGGATTGTCCACGAAATCTCCAATTTTCTTATCTTTGACACCCAGAAACACTCTATGCAAACTGTTTGCTCTTATGTTTGCTCTTATGTCTTATGTCTGTTACTGCCACCATAACAGGGTAAAGAGTATATGATTAGCAAACTTTTAAACGTGATATTTTCTATGTTCACTATCACTAGGTGTTTGCTGTCAACGTAAAAGCAGTGATTTTTCAGACGAACTGGGTCCTAAAACTGACGGTCTGCACTCAGTCTCCAGCGGCCTGGACACCATTGTCTTTCCTTCCGTAATTCCCTTCAGGCGATTTGCTTCGGATGAAGTAACGCCGCTGATTGATGATCCTCGCTGGCTCTACTGACGCAAGACACACTTCTTCTTTATTATTCACAAGAACACTCTTCTTTATTATTCACAAGATTTTTTTAAGTTTTCTACGAAGAAACAGCGGAAGCTAACTACAACGACTAACAGAAATGTCAGAAGTGCGACTGCAACTTCTCGAACACAGATACAGATAGAAACGCTGTACTTATTATCGCGCATGATTCTGATGAAGCTCTTAAAGTATGAATCAATGCAAAAAAATTTGTTTGCATAAAAAAGGAAGCCGTCGAACTTTGCTGTTTTCTATAAACCTCACGCTTGCACCGCTCTTGCTCCCGCCTTCCTTCAATACTTATCTAAGCGGCACTTTCATAGGCAACCAGGAAATTGCAAGGCTGTGTGGTTATCTTTTACGGCGAGAATATTAGCCTGTGTTTATTTAGGCTTGATTATACCCCTATCTATTCCTAGGCAAGGAAGCAGCTACACAAAAAACTGAAAATTTGACAGAGATCTTGTATACAGAAAGCTCTGCGTAGTATAGTCATGACACCGGTGATATTCAGTACTACATACATATATGTGCAAAAAGAGACTGCGAGAGTGAATTACTTTTTTTCCGTCGCTCATAAACAACTTATAACAAATGACACGACGAAACTCCTTAATTAAATCTGGTTTCTGCGTGTACTATAGTTGCTGGTTAATTAGTTTAACCGCCTGCCAGTCATATTCATTGCTTTATCGAGCTTTATGCTTTTACTGTTTTCAATACAATAACATGTCTTTAAAGTTAGAAGTGATCCAATCCTTAGCGCTGGCTGCCAAAGAAGCTTTGTTTTTCGAAGCGAAACAATGTGATGGAAAATGTACCTGCTCTCATTATATTTTTGCTTTTCGTCTCTATTTTTGTCATAATTCTATTGTAAGGATCAGCTTGCCCTGAGTTTGATTACTTTTTATTTAAAGTAAATAATCACCCAATATTTCCAGGTGCTTTATTGCTACTTCATACAATTAACCAGTGTTGTCACCGTCTTCAAATTAAACTCATCGGGCAGCCTACATTAATTGTGTTGTGTCGAAAGTTTACTGTTCAGTTCCAAGGATAAGAAGAAGCCGGTGCCATGTTTGTATTACCTGATAATCTTAGTAATCAACTCTTATAACTTTTTCTTTTTCTTTCCTTCGTCTTCAAAAGTATTGTGAATTCTCTCGGTTATTCTCAACTACTTTAACTCAATCTCCATTTTACATGAATAAAAACTCGTTGTTTAAGGCTCAGAGCTAATAACCGCCATTTTTCTTCCCATGAACTCAATTTCGCATGTTTTATTTGACCTAACTTTGCTTTAATTAATGCTGTTCAGTCACTGACTTGCTTTTCCTTTTTTCCGATTGGTTTATTTTCTTACTTTATGTAGATTTGTTTAGGCGAGAGTTTCAAATAGCGGGGGGTTTCTTGAGAAACTGAACTACTGGTGGTAATTAAGTGATGCTTTGTCTGAGATTACGTGAGTTTTCAGACTAATTATATAAGAAAACCCGCAAATTAGTCACTGAATTGAAAACTGAGGAATTACCCTTCATATATATGCTGCCGGAATTCATCGAGGAATTTGTTACTTGGAAAGAAATGAATCCGGCTTGTGGTTGAGTTATTCAGGTGTTCTCGGAACTTATTGTTTAATGTACCTACGCTACGCGATCATGGACCACAAACTGTTGCGAGATCTAGTGCTATTATCTTTGTTAACCTCTCTCTACATGTTTTTTGGCGCGGTTGTGTTTCAAACGTTGGAGAATCGCCTTGGGGAAGACCTTACCACGAAGAACTTGACCGAGTCATTAGAAAAAGACCTACTTCAAAAGTTCAATGCAACAAGGCAAGAATTGGTGATGATTTTAGTGCGTGTGAGAGAGATTGTTGGCAAAGAAAGCAATGCCCAGAAGACAGAGTGGACTCTTTATTCATCGCTTTATTTTGTTGGGTCAGTTATAACCACTATAGGTAAGTTAAAAAGAAATTTAGTTCAATAATCGTCCTGAAGGCTTAGTATTCGATGGTCCGTAAACAAAGCAAGACAGAGTTTGAAATGTCTAGAAAAATTTATTTCAGTTTCATTTTTCTTGCGATAAAGCACAACCAAAGAAAGTTAAATCTTCTAGTTCACTGGAGCGTAGCAAGGGGGTTGTCGTGAGGTGCTCATGATCCCCCCCACCCCACCCCTTTGTGATATAATTGTTTTATGTCCCTATAATTCTAACCTGAGATCAGGCCCAATTTGAGCGGTTCTCATACATTCTCTCTAACGGCTACCGCTTTGCCCGCAAGAATGTAATTTTCAAAGCGAAACGAAAATAGAGCCTGATCTCAGGTTACTATAATTCAGATGGGCAAAACGCATCCGAATCTGAAGAATCAACATGCCATAAATCTTTTCCAGTGCAAGACTGTTGCTTTCTCCATTTGCAGGACCAAACATCTGCAGTGGACCACGTTCTTGTTCGTAACTAAAACGAGGCTCCTTCTAAAACAGAGTAGTTTATGCTGCTTGGAACTTAATTAATCTATGCACTATCCTGTAGGTTTGAACTCCCCCCACAATCGCTGCTTATATGAAAAAAGAATGTCACTTTTATTAAAACACGTCCTGGTTCTCGACATGTCAATCTGGCAGCTACCCTGGGTGTGACTCAGTGACCCACCCTTTGAAAAATCCTAGCTACGCCCCTGTTTCAGAATTTTTACATTCTTCCCTTTGATTTTCTGATTATTTCTTATTGAGATTCCATTTCAATTCAAAATAGCCGGGTGTTATTCCCTTTGTTATCTACACCAAAAGGTCTTTCAGTAATGCTAAATATTTTCAGTCATTATTATTTTACAGTTAACTCTAAATCTATTTTAAAAGACACTTCAGCTATAATTAAAGAAAGCTAGCCACCTCCCTAAATTAGACAAGAGGAGCTGCCTTCATGTATGTTACGCTTTACCTTCACTCTTACTGAGGTCAGTGACACTTCTCTATAAGACAAGAACTTAATACCGGTTCTCAGAGAGTGAACTTTCATTTAATTTTCTTAATCTGGTTTTTACAGGTTACGGTCACATATCGCCGCGAACTGCAGCTGGACGTTTGTTCTGCATATTCTTTTCCATTATAGGAATCCCACTCAACCTTCTTACTCTAAAGGCTCTTGGAGACGGAATCAATGAGCTTCTCACCAAACTGATCACGAATTTCGAGAGGAAAGTTCTCAAAAGGGAGCCGGCGCGCCTTAAAATAAAAACCATGATCTTCTCAGCCCTTCTGATGGTACTAGAGTTGATCTTGGGCGGAGTCTTGTACAATTACACAGAAGATTGGGAGTTCTTGGCTTCTGTGTACTATTGCTTCGTTGTATTCAGCACCATCGGATTTGGCGATCTGGTCCCGAATCAAGGCCGAGCACCTACTGAAGATTACCTGATTGGTATGATAATTATGCGAGCAGCCTTGTTGATCATCGGACTGTCAACTCTTTCCAGTGTTTTAACAAGTGTTGTTTGCGCAGTAGAAGAAATCAACGCGACTATTCCCAAGTTCTGCTGTATAAAGAAGAGGGGGAGAGTAAGGTCACTTTGCTTGCGATCTAAGCAGTCACGAGATGACAATCCCACTGACGTACTCAGCGAGCCATCAGGAGCCTCGACAACCTATCATCTTGATACCGAGTTAGTCGGTATTGAATAGTTTAAGATTCCTTACGTTATATTTGATCACTAAACCTTAATGAAACGTTCAGCCTTTCATTGACTTTTCTCCTATTGGTAAATGGGCTCGCATTAGTAGTACAGGCCTTTTGAATGTTAACGCAAACATGCACTGTGGTCTGTCACCTAATTAGTACAAAGGAATTTTTCTGCTAAATGTATCAAAATTCCTGAAAAAGGCTCGCTAGGGGCCAACAGAGAGGCACGGTGGTCCAATGGTTGGCGCGTTGGACTCGTACGCGTACTGGGGTAACCAACGATAGACTAACATCGCGTCCAGAGGGGAAAGTACGGTAGAAAAATTCTCAGTCGCTGCATGGGCTACCTACCCTACGAGCGGAAAGATCGAAGGGCCTCTGCTCGCTGGGAATGCGCCACTTGTTGCGCACGCAGATTGCAGACTTTGCCTTTACCTACCTGGGTAGTCAACAATGCCTAGAGCCGAGAAATACTTAGATCTTGTTGTTAAGGCCCTGTTACCTGCTTCGTTCCGAGGTGTCTCAAGAGCAACCAAGGAGTATCGCGCATTGGACCATGGAAATGTTAAGTTTTGGTGCAAAGGGCGCTGGGAAGGTTGGGCGAGACTCTTCGCCTTTCCCATGATCCTTTGCGCGGAACCAAAATCGCTCTAGTCGCTCTCGATTACGAATTCGCTGGAAAATAGACTTTTTTTACCGAGTCGGCGGCCATATTGAATTAATTAGATTTAAGGAGTATTATGGGATGTCCAGGGGGAATGAGCACGATCCGATATACTCGCTCAGTATTTACGCGTGCTTTCCTGGCCAATTTTTCTTTAAGTTTTCCTAGAAAATGATTGTAATGGGGGAAAAAGATCGTTGTGCCGATCGATGGCTTTGGATTGGATGTTATCATGCTCTCCTCCCGAGAAAAATACATTGAAGTTCTCTTTTTTGCCCGAAAAGCGCCCGTAAATACTGCGCGAGTGTCCCCTGGGCATCCCATAATACCCCTTAAATCTAATAAATTCAATATGGCTTCCGTATCGGTAAAAAGGTCTGTTTTGCGCTATTGCGAGACGAGTCAGAGTTGCATAAGCATTGCCTAGTGCAACATGCCCTGGAATAATCATACCTCGCATGGTATAGCCTTTACTAAAAGTATACTTGATTATACTCTGTGAGACGCTTGATGTAACATTTTCAGGGGATGTTAGGCATGGCTAATATTTTGCAAATTGCGAAGAGTACATGATCTTCAGGTCTCTCGTTTTTATACTGATTGTCTAGTTTTGGCAGCTCCTTTTCCACTTGCTGAAAACGTTCTAAGTGACAACGTAAAAATTTAAAAGAAAAGTAACAGGCTGTAATATTCCTTAAAACCAAATATTGTTAGCACAAAATTTGCAATCACCAGAGACCGTTTATTTGTTTGTCTTTGAATAACTAATTATCACGTATGCAACAAAATAAACGCAATGGCTTACAAAAGTTGTTTTTTAATAATCTGTACTTATATCGTAACCTATGATGTATTTACAGTTAGTAGAAAAGATTCGTAAACTCATGAGTAGGTACATCTCTTAATTTTTTGAGATTAAAATAAAATGTATGTTTTTTTTCATAACTATTGTAGTTTCTTATTCACGATTCTACCTAAATTAATAAGGTTTGAATATTTAGGTCTGTTTTAATTCACGAGTCATCGAGACAAGCAAATGGTTCCCCATACTACGTACCACAACTGGTGGTATTTCCCTCCTTCTGAGTAAATATGTCATACATTGACTCAATTAGACTTTAAGCTACATAAACATCTAACTATGAAGCGAGGCAGGCGATCAACACCCGCTGTTTTTATTCTTTTTGTAGAGGGATATATTTTTTTGCGTCTGTACATGCGTTTTGTTTACTGTGTGGCACGTGCCAGATCATTAAAGAAGACGCTAGACGTACAAGCGTAATTGCGCGTCTTGCGAATACTACGCATGCGGACAACAAACAAGGTGGATAGGCCATTTCCAAGCTGTCTCAAGCCTCTGTTTCAGAGCGAGGCTAAGCGCGAAGCCATTTACACGAAAATCATTTTTTGTTTTCATGCAAATAAAACTCATTTTTACAACAAAGGTTTGGCATTTAGTCTCGTTTCGAAATTGGGAGTTTTTGGAACTCGAAAGTGGCCTATTCGTAAAGCCTCGTTTCAACATTTCTTTACAAGAGAAAGAAAAAACAACAACAACGACAATCTAAATTAACTTGAATCCCACAAAAACTTAAGTTTTTTCACAACCACCACGCATCTCTGACCACCCAAGCTTAAAAGGAAAGAAATACATTCAGCTTTGAAACAACTGAACATTAAAAAATTACATTTCTTAATTTAAGGCTTGACAGGAAGTGAACAGAAAAATCTCTTTTTTTCGGCAAGCTTGCACGCCGCGCAAAAAGCCTTGGATTTGAAACATCTATTTCGACGGAGAGGAATACAGCTTTGTAGAAAGCTCTTGAGACCTGAAAGACAACAAAAAATCTAAGTCTTAAACACAGTTTTAACTGTCTTTTATACCACAAAACTAATCCTTGAAATAGCCTTAAAATCTCCATTTTATGTTGAAACGACTGAAAAACTTTAAGTCGAGCTCACAATACGTGGACCATGATAAATATATGCATGAATAAAAGCAACAATGAAAACATTACTAAATATAAATATTAAGAAAGAATAATGGAACAGACAGGGAATCTTAAGGTGTCTGCCAGGATATGTGAGTTTTAGAGGCTGTAATTAAACGGAAGCTCGAATTCCTAAGACATCCGCATATTTAAATCGATTGTTTGAAACATCATTAAGTCCACGCGCCACTGTCTCAAAGCAGAAAATGCAGATAAAAGTTTGTGGACCTCTCCGAAAACCAACTTCCGACTAATTTCAAGCTTTTAATTGGTCTAAAAATAACTTTGGTGAAATAATTCACATATACCACGGCCTAGAGTGAGCGTGAGCTTTTCCTTCTCTGGCCCATTATTTCTCTCTTGCTAGATATATCAATAAGCCGACATTTTTTCTTACCTAACACGATGTCAAACTGCCGAGACTTGACCCTCTTCCTCTGTAAAATTAAACAAAACAAAAAAAATTAGATAATTCGATGCTCACATGGAAGGAAAGGACAAATACGAAGAAACGCAAAGAGAAGTACATAAACAAGGCTTTCATAACCATAGAAAGACTCACCGTCGTAACTATCTACGTAATCTACTCTTCTGTATTGGTCAACTGGATAGTGGTGATACCCTCCATACGGGTACGTGACACCTGGAAAACAAGCGAAAACCCTAACCTGTGAGAGGATGTACCCACTATAACATCCCGGCGTTGATAATACGGGTAACTAATAAACTCATAACACGATCTTATTATTTGAAATGCAAGTCGTGATTCAACCTTGAGAGGAGATTGGGTACAAGTGAGATACGTATCACAATAGGCCATTTCAGAGTTCCCCCGAGCCTCTGTATCAAAACGAGGTTAAGTGCTCAGCCTTTGATATGGAAATGATTTTTCATTCTCATGCAAATAAAACTCAATTTCACAAGAAAGGTTGAGCACCTGGCCTCATTTTGAAACTGAGGGTTTTTGGAACTCGGCAGAAAGGCTTGTGGCGAGAAAAAGGAATTATTTAAATGAAACATAACAAGGTGAAGAATCCTAAGTGACAGGAGGCAAACCAGCTGGCTATGTACAACCACGCCCGAGAGGTTGAGCTAGGTTATCAAATCCAGGTAAGGGCCAAGGTGGGACGTGAAAAAGGGGCCTACTGTGCTCTGATCGCTTGATCACGTTACCTAATTGGGGAGAATGGACACTAGCTTTTGCCACTTGGATTTCTGGGATCGTATTGGCAACCAAGAAGTAGTCTAGAATATTGGAGAGGACTCAATACAGCTAGAAAATGTTGTTTATTATAGGCAATTGGTAATCAATCACAGCTCATGTGTCAGATAGGAATAGGACCAATCAAACGCACAACCATTTAGGCCAGGTTTTTTCTGGCCTACTGGAGTTATTAACCAGAATTCAAGAGTTATGAAAAAAAAAACATAAAATACAACTTACCAGGGTGGTAGGGGTGTTCTTGAGGGGCTGTAGGGTGCGTAGGACTGTATGGTAAATTTTCTGCTGATTCTACGAAACAGAAAAAGACAAAATGAGCCAACAATTCAGATAATTATTTGCTCAAATATTTGGTCCCTTCGGCTAACTTATTTCTCTACCGACATTGCACCCATTGTAGTTGTAGTTTCCTAAGAATCTTCGAAAGTGCACGGTTTTATCTAACATGTCCAACAGCAAAATGTCATGCTGATCGAAATGTTTCTTTTTTTAACGCTGCCTTAGTCTTGATGAAGCTCTTATTCATTTGAATTTTTAAAACAATGGTCCTACTGAGACATTGTATTCCCCGACAGAAGAGATTATTTAAAATATAATTACCTGAATAATGTACCGGTCTAATCACTTCCACACCTACAAGATAATAAAACAGGCAAATTTATCGTTATCATAAACGTTTTTAATTGAGTGCCAGAAATAAATATTTATTCACTATAGTTGAGCCTGCGGTCATACAGTCATTTAAAAGACAAAAGCAGCTTTTCGGTTAATGCAATGCAGAATGAATCCCTCGCCTCGCTTCTATGTCGGTAATAACAGATAATCGTTATTATCTTGGTACCGCTTTGCTACGCTGTTTAATCGGCTGACAAAGTCTAGCACCAAAAATTCTATTCGTTAATCTGGCGCGCGTCCTCTTAAGAGGCATTCAATGGAGGATAAGGTAATACCTACGATAATGCTAGGATGTAGCTCTTTGCGGAAAACAAACGTCTTATTCAAGGAGTGTTGCAAGAATAGTTGCCCGAAAATCTTAAAGGCTAGGACCGCGTAATACTCAAGTGGTTTGTGTCGCGTAGAAAGTTTATGAATCACGATAACTTGACTACAAAATCGTTGACAGCTTTCTTTATCTCACCTGGCGGATGACGGTAGTGAGGTCTTCGATGATCATCATTGTAGTGAAGTCTTCTTAATTCCTGCATGTGTACTGTATCTTCGGGTAACGACGTTCTGTCGTTTTCAGGGAACACGTGTATGTCTTCTGTTAAGAGAACATGACACCAATGAAGATCAAGGATTGCTTCATTTGCACTTTAACTTTTGATTTGAAAACGTTTTACAAGCCAGGGCGTCTGTCTTAGGGCGCTTCCCATTTGTTAGAACTGACCGGCCAAACCGATCCAGTTGTAAAGAGAATTTCACTATTTAAAACCACTATAAAGCCAAATCAGTTATGGTATGCTCGGCAGAGGTGGGTGTAAGGACAAATTTCGAGAAAAGGCGAAATATTTCATTTTCAAAATAAAAGGTCCGGCCGGTAACCGCCTTAAATGAGTGGCGTCGTCGTCGTCGTTGTCGTTGTCGTTGTTGTTGTTGTTATGTGCTTTGTGGCATTGGAACTGTCTGCGATTATGATGATTATATTATTTGAGTGTTTACCTTCGGGTAGAATTTTTGGCGATTGAACCTCCGGAAAAGACGATGAACTTGCTGTAGAGGACACCGAGATTCGATCACCTGCAAAGTGTAGGAACGCAAAGAAACCATAAGAGGCAAAACCCGAAACGAAAAAAGCAAATAAAGGGAGGGAGGGGAAAACGGACATTTTAAAACTGTTTTTCAACGAATACGTTTGTCTGGCTTCCGATGGGCTCTGAAATTCACGCAGGTTCTGAAGCAATTATCATCGGGCGATCAGGCCTCGGTATTGGCTCGGTATTGGGTGACCTTTCCACGCTTGGGCACCACAGCACGATTTTCACCAGAACCATCTCGTTTGGTTTGGTCGGAATTAATATATAACTGTCTCACAAGAATAATGATAACAATTCCACAGTCAGCTGTTTTGGGGACATGTAATGTGGTTCTAACGTTCAAGTCTGTGGACAAAACCCATGAAATGACCTTTCAAACCTTTTGTGTAGTACTCTCAAATGGTATCTCCTCCCCACCCCGTATTTTACATAAAAAGATAGGAAAAGTCTCCAAAATTTTAAGTCTATGTACTTCTTAGGTTTTGAACAAAACATTATAACAACAACAAAGGCTTAGCTTACTTGCAATGAGTTCCTTCTTGAGTGCTAATGGCGATGGAACTAGGAGATAAAACAAAAATAGGGTTAGCATCCAGATGAAACACGCTAACTGAAGAACAGTAAAGCTTTCCTTAATCGTCCAATTCTAACACCAAAGGGAGGAGAGGTGTATTTCCATGCTTATCGGAAGTGAGATCAACTGATTCATGAACACTTATAATGATTATCTTACCCGTCAGCTCATTTGGTTTGCTTCCTTTCCGATCTTTCTTACTAGCGACCGGCGAGGACGAGGGCGAGTTCTTCCTGCGAGTTTGTACGCTCGGAGGAGCTGAAATAAGAGGAGAGAAAAAGAATAACAGAGTTACATACTGTGTTCTTTCCGTAGTGCTTATAGGGACTTGCGCGTAGTTGTTACATTAACATCACCATACGTATCAGCAAAGGAACATTATCATGGAATAAGATCTTAAGTTTGTGTTCTCCACGCTTTTTTCCACGCTAGTTTGCTACACTTATCAGATAAACGCTTCATGTAGAATTTTAGTCACATAAACATAAGGTTTATGGCCTTAGATCGAACGAGTCTTCCATAACTCAGTGGCAGAGCAACAGAGCTAGTAACCGGAAGGTCAAAGCTTCGACTTCTGTTGGGAAAATTCGGATTTTTTTTTTCTCCGAGTCGCCTGTACAACTACTCACTCAAGAAACATCACGTTTTAGCCATCTATTATTATAGTTAAGCACTGAGCTGGCCGAGGGATAAAGGAAAACTGAATTAAACCGCTAAACAAGTTACTAACTGTTAATAGAAGAGAGAGACAGAAAGACTGGAATGAAAGGATTAACATACCGGATCCCTGAGGAGGTTCACAGTTGTTTGACATTTCACGCAACTTCTCCTCGTCTTCAATGATAGTTAGGTTTGTAAGGTACTGCTGGACCCTGCGTGACATCATGGACTGCGTGACAAAAGCAACAGCGTTAGTAAATTCTGCATTAAGTACGATAAAAAATCTTACAGATTATGTAATAAGAACTTGTTTTTCTATGATCCTACCTCCTCGTACATCCTTTTAGGATTCTGGTCACGCAACGATCTTCGGCCGCTACCTGTTACCATGCCAACCAATTTCTGGTTACCAGGACCTCCCTGACTGTTTGTATCGTCTTCAAACATAGTGTCAGGATCCTGAAAGTTTGAAAATTAAATAAAAAGAACGGTTAGTCAATTCACGAGAAAATGAATAGGCTATTAAAGTGGGCCAACGCAGAACTTGAGAAAAATCGAGGACTTACGTATGGGATGGAGTTAAACTTGGAAATCTGCCGAACTTCTCTTGCGATGAGTCGAAGCTTTTCAAAGTTTACCTGTAAAATGTGTAAAGAAAAAATATTTTCATGCCATACTCTGATGCAGCAAACCTTCAAATAAACAATTCTATTCTCATGGAGTGTGAGAAAGTTCGTAATTTCTAGTGCTGTGTGACTAAATATAAGCGTACTGGAATATTATATACTTGAAAAGAAGGCATTTCTGTAGTGGTTATGGAAGAGACTTGTGAGTCTATAGTTCGGTTACTTTGTTTGAGTATTACATAAAAAAATGCCATTTTCAGTCTAGTCAAATACTTAATCATTTTCTTATTGCTAATGAAATCGAGTTTTAAGCTGCAAGATAATTTGGCTTACCAATCCATCCACAATGCTATCATTTCCAAGATGGATAAATGTCAAGTCCTTGGTGATGACGGGAAAGAATGGAATCTGAAAGAAAAAAAAATTACAATGCCCCTCAGTATTAAACACAAAAAATAAATTCTCTCTACTAGAAGTTAACCTGACTCTATGGAAGCGGACTCATCAGTGGCTGTTTCTGTCTAGAGAAACTGTCTGTAACTTAACCATCTATGTGACAGACACCTCTGGTTGGCCCGCTTTGCTACTAAAATAGGACCGTATCGTGAAGAGTTCTTAGGTGGAGAGCCAGAGCTCGTTGTGAAGATGCCCTTATCTGTCTGTTAAAGCAGTAGATTTAGATTAGTCGATATTTGACACCAAATACGAGCACGTCCCATGTAGACAAGTCTTGAACAAAATGACTTAACGATGGGTCGATGATTTTATCAATTTACAATTTTAGAATAATAATAATGGCAACTGTCAATCTACTAGTGCATGCGTCAAAAATCATTACTGGGGTAGCAAGATCTCCACTATAAGTGGACAGAAACTTCAGGCTCCAGTTGTTCTCAAAAAATGGATAACGCTATCCACAGGATAAATCACTATCCAACGGATAAGTATTGGGGAAACCAATTGCGCTATCCACTGGATAGTGATTGAACCTGCAGATAGCGTTATTCACCTTTTGAACAACTGGGGCCAGGACCCGGTTCCTGAAAGGCCGATTAGCGTTAATCCAGGATTAAAATTTTGTTGCGTTTTTGTTTTTTACGTTCCTATGCATTGCTTAGGGTAATATTTTGTGTTATCATTACTGCACCTCGAAGTAAAGGCTCAACAGTATTTTGTAACCTCGAATTGCATGTCGTTAGACGAGAAAATCGTGCTTGAAATTTGGCTTAATCTTGCGTTAAACTTAACTATCTTTCGAGGAACCGGGCCCAGAGCGATAGGCTTAACTTACTAGAGGCGGTTCGCCGTGTTCCCCGTTCAGCAGATTTCTGTACTTGGACATATTTCTCGACGGATCCATAAGACCTTGAAGATCCTTGAAAAGAGAACAAAGATAGATCATAAATCATCATAAATAAAGTGCACATGTATTCTATGATCAATGGAAAAAGCTCCTGTAGGACCTAAACTCACCTCAAATGCCTTGGTATGCTTTGTGGGTAATCTGTCCCATGTGTTCTTCATCCGTTGCACTGCTGAATGTCCGAGACCACTGTAAAAGATAGAAACAGTCTTAACGTAAAACTATCACTCATTGCAGCATTCCCTTTGAATATGTTTCCTTAGGGAATCTTCATCAGTGAATGTGATCAGGATTCTTAAAATTGATTTTGAATCTTGAAACCCCGAGTGGACTCTAATGCTGTATTTTTACGGATATCGCGACCCGTGGGTTTCTTTGAGCACGGATTCGAAACAGTGCATTGGCAAGCGGTGTACTGGTACTGAGAAATATGAGGCATGCCGCGTTCTCACTCATTTGCGCTAAAAGATTTCCTCTTTTTCATCAAAACGACTAAAAATTTAAAGAATCTGGTGTCAAGAATCTAACCTTGGATTCTCCCAAAGAGGGTGAAATGAACTCAAGAACTTACCTTACAATTGCAAACAATGAATTGTAGTTTTTGCATTCTTTACAATGCCCTGTAAAAATTGAAGTAAACGCCAAGTTAACTCCTCGAAAAAAATGCAAGTTTCTCAGTCGTATACTAAATATAAACCTTTTAACTTAAAAAACATCGAAAAGCACTTACTTGCAATTTTAATAAAAGCCTTGATTATTTTCATTCTCTTGACTAAGTTTGATTCGTTGCATATCTCTGTTACAACCCAAAACATTTCTTTATTTACAATCTGCAACGGTAACAAAAACAGGATAATTTGAGCTTACTGAACTAAATCGTCACAAAACGGGAAAAATCAGTCAAGACAGTGCAAAAATAGCCTGCGAACCCACACGTATTTCCCGTCGTTGCTCGTTACTTTTCGGATGGAGAGAAGCGACGACTGCGTTCGCAGGCTAGTGCGAAAAGCGTTTCTCTATTAACTCATTCCTACCTCAGAAAATTTTCTTAAATTTTCCGTCAGTTTTGGGCCAAAGTTCCATAACTTGTAGATATATTCTCGGGGATCAATACTTCTAAAAATTTCAAAGTCCTAGAATAACAAGATAAAAACCACAATTAGCTCTTCAGGAAAAATAAAATGGACTATTTCCCCTTCTGTGCAAGTTGCTTTTAATGAATAGTGCTTTGCAACATAATAAACTGGCTACATGTTTTGATTAAAAACTGAAGGAAAATAAAACTCTTTACCCGTCAAAAATCTGATCAGGATTACATGGAACTTGATTTATCAAACTAAAATATCATACACTCATCTCATAACATATCGTTGCCAACAAACCTACCGAAAAAACAGAAAAGCCTTTTGTTTTCAGAAAAACAAAACTGATTTTGTTAAGGACCTTGGAATACGATTACTTTCTGCGTAAATGGAGGAATGTACAGCCAAAAGATCCGAAAAAAATCATATTCAATATATTACATACGTTGTCCTTAAAAGACCGCTAAAAGAGTTGTTGTTTTAATTTTCACGATGCCAAGAAATGCTTTGACAAGTTATAAACTTCTAAAATGCACCGTAATTAAGCAATTGAAACGCGGGAAAAGGGTATTTATAATGTAGCTACTAACAGAACGCAGAGATGATTAATCCATGAAAAAACGTTGTCGTTGTTTCGCCTATAAATGATAAAAACTGTATCACTTTAAAGAGGACAAAAGCATCGAGAAAGGTTAAAAAAAAACATTCATACTGCATACGGAAAGTAACAACAACTTGCAGAAAGGGAGGAATAGTCTAGTTTTTAACTCGCTAAGAAAGGCCGATCAAAATTAATACTTCATTTACGCTACAGCGGATTAATCGACCAACATTCTTTTTTTCATTTTTAGCTTCTTACCTGTAACGTAATTTCTTTAGCCAAATCTCGCGGCTTGAGTTGCAACAAACTAAAACTTGACTCTTTTGCCAGCTCCTGCACCACAAAAAAGACAGAACGTAAAAACTTTCGAGTTATTTTAGTTTTCACGCCGGACTGAAAGTAGTCTAGCTAAGACACCATTGCACCGTTGCGTGTAATGTTAAAGAAAAGCATAATTTCACAACCTTCCTAGTTCCTATAAACACCAGTTTAACCTAGAGCGGACAACACTTTCAGAGGTTTTCGCTTAATTCTAAAGTTTCGTCCACAGAACCTTAAATTATATCATCACGGTAACGTATTATAAAAAGCACTTCAGAGTCCTACTGAATGATTCAGAATGGTTGCTTTCGAAAACAAAACCTGTACGAAAACGAGTCTGAGGTAGTGTGGTTTAGAGCGCATTCGGCAAGAAAAGGATTCAAAAAATGTAAATTCGCTGACCTGAGCTGCCTCATCTGGGAGCAAAGGACCCGACACTTCGTTATTCTTCAAGTAATACCTGCAGAAGAAAGACAAAACTATAATAAGGGAACTACCTTGTAACAAAAGATAGTAGTTTAGCGCTTCGTCTAGACTTTACATTCTCAATGATGGGGTGACACGCCTCGCCTGACTCTCTCGTTTAACTGTTACTTCAACTCGCGTCTAAAATTCCTTTGCGTGTTCGTGTGGACAACCGTAAGATCATTGCGCTCGTGTGGACAAATCATGTGTGTGCATTCACAAACGTAATCGTATACGTACAGGTGGTCACAACAAACTGAGAATGTGTTCACACTAAATTGAATAGCCTTTATGCTGTTTAACAAACAGGCAACAATTCTCCATGGTCCATAGAAATGACGTCAATCCGGTCGATGCGGTAATGTGTAAACACAGGTACGTTTGTGCTACATCTTTACAACAGGCTAGCTAATAGGTTACTACTTACCTTCCATTCAAATGAATTCTATCAGGAAGATTTGGAAGCATATCAGGCAGTCTTCTTTGTTTGATGAGTCCACCATCCTCTACAGTAATCTCACACAGTGAGTAGTTACTATAAATAGAAAAAAAGAAATTTCAAAGTGAAGTACTGAATTCATGTTTGTGAGAGCTTACGACGCCCTATTGGCGCCGATTGTCGAGTGACTGATAACACGTTAGTCGCGTGAAGCAAAAAATAGTCACGTGAAGCAAAAAAAAAGTTCACGTGACAAAATGTCGAGTTAAATCACTGGAGAGATTTGCTTGACTTGAGGGAAGGAACCTGGCACCTGATCTTAATCACTTGACAGGCTTGAAATGAACGCAGAAACTATGATCCTAACATGTAGCTATTTTCCTTAAGTATATTCTTAGCAATACCAGGAAACAACATTTTCGCTCCTTATCTAAAAAGTAATTGGTACTTTTTTATTGTCTAGCGCCTAAAATAGCTGAAGTAGAGATGTTTTACGTCAGTTGCGTCTTAACAACATTGGACAAGGTGGATCAGTACTAGACCAATATTGAAGCCATACAAGCACCCTTGAACACCAAAATAACGATAGACGTCTAACACGAGCTCTTCAATCAGTCTTACCTTGGGTGGTCTGGAATTCCAAACGCATCCACAGCTCGATTAACGACCTCTCTCGCTGTAGTTTCCTAAAAATAGATAAATAACAATAAAAGGACAAAATGTTTAAACTAGAGCACAACAGGTCATGCACGCCTCGAAACCATGGAACGTTCTTGTTTTCGCAGTTTTGTATAGTGCACGGCGCCACGCAATATAAACAAAAAATATATACAGTACGTGTCAAAAATCTGCTTTATAAACTATATTAAAGCGCACGTGAAGGAAAAGAGTCCCGGTTGGCAGTATCGATTTATAAGTACCGATCAAAAATAAAGAGTTGTAAACCAGTTCTCCCCTTTTAGCCTTGCACCAAGTTCATATTTCTTTGTGTTTTTCGCCGCACTTTTTGGTTGTTTATCTTCCTTGGGATGCTTTGAAATTAAAACCCAAGTTAAACTGCTTTGGCTTTGAATTGGCAACAAAAAAACGTGCAGCTTGCAACATTGCTGCAAAACGAGCTGTATAGCGATGTTACGCGTTTTACCACCCACGTTCGAGCCTGTCTTGCAACAAATCAGGTTAAAACGCGTATTCAGTTCGTTTGGCAGCAACCCCTCGCGTGTCTCCCTCGCGCGCGCCCGTTCTCTCTTTCGCCCACTACTTCTAAGCGCCTGCTACGCAGGCTACCCGTTTTACTGTAGCTTTAGCGCTAGATGCATGTATCACCATCAAGATCCGTTTAAATGGCTGCGTCTGTTTAATTACTCTGGCAATTACTTTGGTTTGATTAAACCGTTTCCTAACATAGTCCAAGCTGAAAATTCATCAAAAATCTAACTCGCCTGAGAGTGAAAATGGAAATGAATTAGCTAGCTGGAAAAAATTTGGCTATTTTAGTTAGATATTCTTTCGAAAAGCTGTAGTTAACTCACCTTAAACACCATAAAATATTTACAGGTCTGGTCCGCTTTGTAAACTTTAATAACTTTATCAGGCATGTCTAACGACTGATCGCTAGTATATATGCATTCAGTGGAGCCAAATCCTCGCGGTAGAGTGGCTCGTTTATTCTTCACTGCGAGACGGGCCATGGTGTGAAGATCATCAGAAGTGTCGTGATTCACACTTAAAAGATCCCTCTCGCTTTTAGAAATAAGCCTAAAAATAAAACTGGATTTTAGTTAAAGGTCTTGTACATCCTGTTTCTCTCGAAAGTCCCGTTAATCTTTCGCGTCCCGATTTTAGCCACAAACGAGCAAAATCTCTCTCGTTAACGTAGACCCTCTTCACTTGTGCCGGTGAGGTTAACCGCAACTAGTTGCAAAATGGCTTGAGACACTGTAACGTGTTAAGCCGAAAATGGACTTTAGAAGTTTTTTCACGATTCACACCCCTCCCTTCCCCTCCCGCTTTTAACACAACTTGTAAGGACTCCAAGATCGTACTCACTCAACTCTTGCCACGACTTCCTTTGACCGGAGAGAGAGGAAAAAGACCTAATCATTCTTAAGAACTCTCTTCCTCTAAAGCGCAACTAAGTAAGGAAGGCGGGTTTCTATATAAGTGTCTCCATCATTTTGCGACTGGTTGTTGCTCCGTTCCGAGATCACGGTTCACCTTCATTGACCAGGCTAGCCCAGGAGTTGCGGCCTGGTTAATCAGGCAGCCAAAGTTCGAAGCTATTTCTTTGGAAAACAAAGTAACTTGAATAGAAGCACATGATTGCAGATGACATAAGATAGTTCAGATGGTTTACAGGGACGAAATGATATCGGGACTTTTGAGAAAAAGGTTTCAAGGATAACAAGTTAAAATTAAATCACAGCAAAACATTAGTTTCGACCTTTAAAATTAAATCGGTTGCATTCCCAAACAAACCTTTTAATAATCTTCATACGTTGCGATATAACTCACACAAGTCATGTTAAACGCGTACTGTGTCGTTAACACTTCCGTTCTAGCTTTTGACTGTCTTTACGATGGCCAGTTTGCCTAACATAAAATTAAGCAGTTGTGTTTCACCACCGAACCAACGCAAACTAATCAATTTGCATCTGTTACTGCATCTGTTATTGCATCGCGCAAGATGCAGCGGGTCATATTGGCACTCACGCGTTTTCGGATACTGGGCAAACGATAAGCCTTAAAATTAGAATGGGTCGACCGGTTTCTGAACATAAAGCAAGTTTGGAGTATTGCCTCAACCCCCGGGGCGGAAGGATAATCCATGCGGCCGGAACTCGTTATACACCCAAATGATGGGAAAAAGTTTTCGACTAAACAACTCACCCAAATCCCGGAGAGAAGAAGCAGGGGTTTTTTTACGACAAAACGTTCGTCGCTATCAGATCATAATCGAGAATACTATTGAAACTACAACTGTTTCACATAACAAGATGAAAATGCTCCACGTCCAGTGTCCCCCACAAATGGGGAATTTCTCCCTTTTGAACCTGTTGGTTCTTAGATGACAATGCGAAATTTACGAAGCCAAATAAGTTGTCAGGAGTATAGCACAGGTATAAAGATATTGATCTAGTCATTTCACACTCTAGTGATATTCGCGTGACCCTCCAGTCCTAAGCGGTATTATCATCAGTTGCAGAGCAGATACGTAACAAGTCGCCCCGGATATGTTTTTGTCGGTTTCGGATCGTAAACAGGCGGTGGATATCTTGCAGAGGTCTTTGAAGCCCGATTTTAACTTGCAATGCAAAGATGTACGCAAATGAAGCAATCATTAACTGCCTATGCAACAGTTCCAGTCTGTTGAATTAATAGGAATTCGGCCCGCAAAGAGGAGAACATCAAAACTCAGGGCAAAACAAACAAATGTGAAAACAAAAAGTACAAAAGAAAGAACGGTGTCCAAGAATCGTTGTTCTTGAATGGTCACATCGCCCACTTTCGTCAAGACTCAAAATATAGAATCACAACGTCGTTCTTCATAAAATTCCTTCTGCGAGTGAAAGGGTTTTAATACGGCCCTTTCTAAGTAAACTCTAAAACTTGATGACATTTTTTATTTTTCTACAGTTTGCAGAAGAGGGAGAGAAATGTACCTAATGTCAAATACACGTGCAGTTCACGTGCATAAAAATTTGTTTTTCCTTTAATAAAGTCCTTCACGCCAATGTGGTTGTCGTAGCTCCCATGCATGCATCTACAACACGTGCGAGATATGAGGTTAAGTACAAGAAAAGCCAAGTAAACGTTTTGACCTCTGACAAAAGGTGTAAGAAGCAGTGGTGGGTACCCTGATGTGCTTGAAAGTGGAAACTTTCAACGTCAGTGAAAACTAGGGTTTTGACAACTGAGTTCTGAAATTTGCTCCTTATTTAAAGAAGAGATTCTACAAAAAGCTGACTATGTTTGGAGCAGGGTAAGATCAAAAGAGCTCCAGTTCAAGGTTGCCTCGCAAATGAGGTACAAATAGAACGCCCTTCCATCAATATGTGAGATAAAAACAGGTTTAAAATAAGAAAACCGTCTAAAAACAATTTGAAGGGGCAGGACTGAAACTTTAAATGACTTCTATTTCCCAAATAGTAATTAATTGTCGCTGCTTAAAAACAGGTTATTGTAGATGCCCCTTGCAATGAGCACTAAAATTTTGATGCAGCTAGTCAAATCACAATATCCATGTTATATCAAGGCTGGAAATATTTGTTACCGAAACAAAGCAGTAATTTTTCCCTAGGTCTCCACAACACTAAACAAAGTCGCAAATTGTTTTGTCATAAACAAATCTATGTATTCTATATACCACATGTTTTTCACACCCACGGGAAAAATCATTAGCGAAACAATGTTAATAAGCACAGAAAGGAGGTCTTTAGATATGCCGCTATTGCGAACGTAATTGTATTGGATCGACTGGTTCAAAAAGAGCCTGTGGATGAGACCTCTGAACCGTAAGAGAAGATTCTAAACAAGGAAACTGAAGTACACGTAAAATTGACTTAAAAAACAGAAAACGTTTTCCGGTAAATTTCACAACAAAGGAAAAAGCCGACTAGAGAACTGCAAACGGCTAATGAAGTGGAAAATTTATAATTTATTACTTACTAGACATTCCCCAAACAACAAATATCACCATTCAAAAGTGTCATTCATTGCTTTTGTTCAATGAACACACTTACAAAACACTCAAAAAGCCAAAAATTACAGCCACCACGTTCAGCATTACAAACTTTACCTTAGAACAGGTCAATGTATAGTTCTGGTTAAGTTCAACTGAATGACTGAACGCCACGATTCAATAAACCGACTGAAGGTTTCGAGCGATCGTGCAAAGTTTAATAACGTATATAACATGGCGACGTACTATTTAATAGCTGTTCTTTAGAGGGACACGTCAAGCCTTTCGTCAAAAGACTCGAACGCGTAATAGAGAGCTGAATCATAAAAAATCAAGTTTGTAAAGAATCGATGGAAAGAATTTGAGAGCCAGACGAAATATGCCCTCTTATTTTTGATATTAACCGATCACGACAAAAGTGCATTACTATTATTATCATAAACTTCGCTTTTTACGTCTGCAAAAAGGTCGAAATAACACTGAGAATGGAACTGTTAAAGTAGAATCCGCTACAGCAAAATCAGATGGAATATAAAATGTGAAGTGTGCATTTGGAGAAAGTGAGTCAATTAAAAAAAAAAAAATCTACCATTACATTTCGTTCCATATAGTATATATTTGTACAAGAAACCAAACCTCAAAGAATCATGACTGAAATAACGTCATAAGTTAAAACTAATGAGTGGAAGTCATCATTTCACGTTTTTGGCATATTTCAGTTTCTTCCAAAAGTTTTCACTTTAAGGGAGGTCGGCTCATTCAGAGTAATAAGAATATTTCCTGACAAAGTTCGTCTGGAATGTCTGTCGCTCAACTGATTTGCATCGATAAAAAAATAGAATGACAACGTACTACCCGCTTTCGAAGGAATTTCGTATTTTCTAATTGACCATTTCCTTTCTTACAAAACGCAACCACTAGCTAAAAGGAAATTTCACATAAAATAACACATATAATCCCAGTAGTCTAGTTATAGACTGAAAAAAAACACAAATATCTTGCTTCTAAAAAAGGCAAACCAAATCGAACACATGATCAATCAAGGACACACTATTATTCTCTAAGTTATCGCTGTTATGTACTTACTTGCTATTTCTCGAAAGTGTTCCAAGCGCACTGAGTCGGTTCAGAGCTTTCTTCACTTTTTCTTTCAGTTCTGTTAGACGGATGTAGATGCTGGATAGAATAACAAAACAGAAGAAATGGTCAATTGAGTAAGACAGTCCCCCGCAGGCTGACTCTACTTAATCTCCTGTAACCACAGGGCAAACGAAGTTCTGGCTATTTTGAAAGGTATTCAAGCGTTTCTGCAAAACAATAACAGAGACCAAAGCGGTAAATCGCAGTCTTTTGCGTGACTTCCTGGCGGGGCGCCAGGCTCAGCCGAAGCGGAAGCTCACTTGCGTCATGAGCAGAAGTTTATTAGCAGAGCCTGTTTTTCGTCCAATATTTTAAGGCGTAGAGTGAAAAAAAAAACATGCAGGCGTGGCTCGGTCAGTATGTTTCTTATCTGATAACGTCGCCAAAGCGGCAAACTACTAAATTTGGTCTGGTTTTTAGTTCATGCACCCCTTACGGCAACAAGAAACTTGTCGAAGACACCAAAGATATCACGGAAGGACAGTTAATTGAAAGTCAGGTTGAAAGAAAGAGGTTACTTCCACTTGATTGAATACTTTAGGATCTTATGACTCCAACTTAAATAGTTTTCTGGTAAGGACTTTTTCTCACTAGCTTTTGACTAGTAAATCATAAGCAAAAGGATGGTAAATAAACTTGTAAAGCGCAATCAAAGTTAAACCTTTTGGTAGAGACTTCCAGGAACTCAGTAGACATATTTTAAAGACACAAATACATTAATTACAGGGGATTTTAGAACAATCGTCTCTTACAGAAAGAGAGAGATAGAGGAAAGCGGGATTCTAGTGCTGGGCTGAACTGGGGTATGGCGACCTTTTTTGTTTTGCTCTCGGTTCTTGATCATCTGGGCAGAAATTCTAACAAACAGTG